CAGATGTTTTTAATTCAGTTTTTTTTTTCAATGTTCTTCTAAAATTCAACCACTATATTTACCTAAAAATCAAATAATACCGGTTTTATGCATTTTCGTATTAAACCTGTAGTCAATTCATGTTCCAGGGCCACTTGGTTTAGCCGTGCATTATCAGCCAATATACCATGGATTGCATATGCAAATTTTTTGTTTGGACTAATCAAATCAATGGATTAACACCATCAATATACTGGTATAATATAATTATAATATAGACCATACATCCCATGTCCATGGTCTATTTATGATATAGACCATACATCCCATTTCCATGGTCTATTTATAATACAGACCACACATCACATTTCAATGGTTTATTTATGATACAGGCCATACATCCCATTTCCATGGTCTATTTATAATATAGACCATACATCCCATTTCCATGGTTTATTTATGATACAGACCATACATCCCACTTCTATGGTCTATTTATGATACAGACCACACATCACATTTCAATGGTTTATTTATGATACAGGCCACATATCCCATTTCCATGGTCTATGATATAGACCACACGTCACATTTCCATGGCCTATTTATGATACAGACCACACATTCCATTTCCATGGTCTATTTATGATGCAGACTACACATCACATTTCCATTGTCTATCTATGATACAGACCACACATCCCATTTCTGTGGTCTATTTATGATACAGATCACACATCCTATTTCCATGGTCTATTTATGATATAGACCACACGTCCAGTTTCCATGGTCTATTCATGATACAGACCACACATCCCATTTCCATGGTCTATTTATGATATAGACCTCACATCCAAATTCCATGTTCAAAATACAAGATCACAACATCATATTGGTATATACATTGTACAATGTATGTGTAAATGTGAAAACAAAAGACTTTTCTATCTTCATACTACATTTCAGATATTTGGAAGATGATAACTTTGCAATATCTGGCACTTTATCGGACATCAGGGATAAATCTTCTACCGGCTATTCAGTTGCTTGGGAATTTACTATGGAAAACTTTGACAAACTTGGGTTAGTCTTTATTTACAGCCATTTTACAACTTTCAATATGCAATTTTAACAAATGAAACAATAAGTTAATGTGTCCTTTCATCTTGGCATGTTTTCTTTAGATTGTCGTACAACACAGTATGGGACTTTCAGACTATTATGAATACTGACTATGACCTCAAACAGGTATGTACATTTACTGATGTAAACAACTGCCATGTATTGTAGCAACAAACCACTGATGTATTTAAACTAATATTTATATCTTTTCAAGTTAACGGCTTTCAGTGTAAATCATCATGATATGGCCGAAGATGATGCAAGAGACTACTATGAGGCTGTAGAAACAGTTGAAAAAAACATTGTTTGGATGAACAGAAATAAACAAAGTATTAAAGAATGGCTATTGGAAGTGACAAGTACCATGAAACATAGTGTACCTACGGACGGTGAACGTCACGTGCCAAAGCCTGATTCATCTGGATTGTATATACAGTATGATGGTTTGATACAAGATGGTCATATAAATGGGAAAAGAGTGCCTCTAACATCTGAGGCAATGCTGCAATTAGTTCATGAACACTAATATATCTAGTTGTTCTGTAATGTTAAGATACAAGATACATTTAAAATACAAGTATGTAATATTCAATTTTGCTGCAATCTGCAAATGATAGCTTCTTGGCCACAAGCCTGAATAAATAGCAACTGACCAGCAAAGTGTCTGTTCACCATATAGGATGCATTTTATTCAAATGATTTCCAAGATAATTATTATCACAAATAGTTCTGAAATTATTATTGTGCATCTTCCAAATAACTACTGAGGTGTTCTGTCAACCCAGATATCTGGCAATTGTTTTTAAACACATGTTTGAGTAAAGTGCTTCAATGGAACCTGCAGTTGGGCAGAGATGTCAATTTCATAAACTAATCATATGGCATGTCACAAACATGCATAACAAGTGATCTGAAACGATGCCTCTTGTATTTAATTTTCAATGTACATATGAAATATTGCTAATTCACAAAGTCCATGCCAATCAAAATAAGCAATTGCATTACATAGCCAATGTGAGTTGACAAGGTTAAGAAATATATAATGTTTTAACATGAACAGTCAGATAATGTCAGAGACACAACTCCAGAAATGCGTTCACTGAAACAAAATGGCCACCAGTCAGCCATTCGATCTGAGAAACAATATGATGTACATTAAGGTTCCATAAAGTTCCATGTTTGAACAAAATCTGTTATGCACGAGAGAGATCCATACCTGGAGTCTCAGAAATGGTTGATTTTGATGAATTTTTAATATTCTGGCATCCAGAATTTTGAATTGAAATGTCAAATGAGTACATGTACCACATGATGCATATCTAAAATTAGCAAATGTCATGTCTAAGATACATCTTTGGTACCAAATTTGTTAAAACAAAATGACCACGAGGCAGCCATTTTGAATCCAATCTAAAAAACAAAATCACTTGCATTTGATGAATTTTCATTACAAAAATGGTCACCATTCGGCCATCTTGAATCTGGTCATGAAACAACTGTCTCCCAAAATATGTGATGTATTTATGAAGTTTGCTTCTCATCCACAAAATAAAATGTAGCAGTTAAAAATGTTTCCTATTAAGATTATTCAATAACACAACAAGATCTATGTCCAAAGTTTAACATTTAGTACATTCAAAAATTGACTAAACATAAGAAAATTATATTCAATCTATTATTTTATACTGATGAGATTTAATTTTATTACTCGCTGTATGGACAAAGTCAGAAACAGGGGCTTATGGTTTAGTCTGTGTGTCGAATTGTACCTGTGTCTCACACTGATTCTCTTCAAATTTTACACATAGCTAGTACCTTGTCTGGCATATGCATTGATTTTGTAATCCAGCCATTTTGAATCGAAAGATACTTTTCTGGACACAATTAGGCTGATTTATTTCAAACTTGGTAGTTTATATATTTTGATTCAAACAGCCGACTGGTGGCCATTTTTTTTAATACACTGTACAAGCACTGTATTGATGTTCTTGAATTATTTTTCGGTTAATAAATTAATCAACTTGATGTGAAAACAAACTTTCAAAAACATTTGAATTATTTAATAATAAAGTTGTGCAATTCTAGTCTTGCTTTCTATTTGAATTTCCTGTCAAGTATTTTCATTCAGTTGAGTTGAATATACATTTGTATGTACTGACATATTGTAATAGTTGAAGAAATAAAATAGCAAATATTGTATCTTCCATACTAAGAGTATCGGTAGTGGTCATCCATACAGGCAAATCAAATTTAACAATTATCTATGAGCTTTGTGTAACACTTGATCACATGATTTATATTGGTTTACAAAACAATTGATAATGTCAGTTTTGTTTACCCATCAAGGACTCCTCCCCAAAATGGGTTGATTTGGACTTGGGCATAATCAGAATATCGTACATCATTTATTAAACCCAGTTATTGTGAGACTAATGCCTGAGATCATAACAATTGTTCAAGTCATTTATTTTTATGTCATAACAGAATAGAACAAGTCATTGTCAATGACACGTCCCCGTTCCGTTCATATTTGAGTGACATATACATTCAAAGCAGATCATGACCGAAATGCACCTGCATATGTACAACACATTGTGCTAAATCTGAACAAAATCCATCCATGCATGACTGAGATCCGGTTCTGGAATTGTGAAAATACGTGATTTTGATGCATTTTCGGCCTTAAAATGGCCATCATTCCGCTATTGTTAAGCAGATCATGAAACAAATGCACATATCTATTTGTGACATGATGTACCATGTGTGTGTGAAGTTTGAACTTGATCAATCCAGACATGTCTTGGATACGAATCCAGAACTGAATTCTTTAACAAAATGGCCGCCAGTCGGCCATTTCGAACTTGATCCGAAAAAAAAAGACGTGCATCAAGGTCCTATTATGTTTAATGTATGTACCAAATTTGAACAAAATCCATCCATGCATAACTGAGATACGGGTCCGGAATGGTGAAAATGTGCGATTTCAATGCATTTTCGGCCTTAAAGCGGCCGCCATTTGGCTATCGTTAATGAGATCATGAAACAAATGCACATACATATTTGTGACATGATGTACCTTGTGTGTGTGAAGTTTGAACTTGATCAATCCAGACATGTCTCGGATACGGATCCAGAACTGAATTCTTTAAAACAAAATGGCCGCCAGTCGGCC